GGGATGGGGGGTGCGTGCGGGGAGAAGTGACGGGAAATGGGATTGACGCAGAGGGAGGAGACACGGGAGAGAGAGAGAGAGAAAGTGAGGGGTAAATGTGGAAAATCTGATTTTACCCCAAACTTACTTCGAAATAATTACGGTTCTGCCACCGAACAAGTTCTGATCGCCAAAGCTTCGTTAAATCTCCGATTGAAGCCTACCGCCTGTCTACGGTTTCGTCTCAGTACCACCTACGCAACCACACCACTCAGGGTCCCAAAATCTTCCCGGATACGAAAGTGACCAAAATTACCCTTAACCCAAGAGTAAATTAATATTTTCTCTTAATTAAATTAAAATAGGAAAATAATTGGAGTCGGGGTGTTACAGAAAGTCTTCCTGAGAACCTTGCCATGATAGGAATGGACTTCTCGGAAGATGATGTAAAATGTGTGTCGAAGTATTCACCTAACCATCCATACACATAATGGAAAGGTAGAACAGTTGTGCAAATTCCTGGATCATCCGCACTAGAAATATCGTTTAGCCCCTTGTAAATGCTGGCCAATACTGGAACTGCTAGGCCAAATGATACACCGTGCGCCATTCGACTGGCAACTTTGAAAACCCCCTGGTCTGATCAAAGTTACGTCATCTTTGGGAAATACAAATTTACACAACCAGCAAGCAAGGAATGCAGCCAAGTAGGATTTTTCCATGTCTTCATCAGCTATACCCAAATCTTCAAAAACTCCTTCCTCTTCCTCAGTGCGTTTCAGTGCTATCGGAATGATACCAGATGGATCAGAGTCCTCCTTTGGATTTTGTGACTTGTTCCGTATGGTTTTCCTTGAAGGCTTTTTATACTTGAATGGCCCTCGATACCAGTACTTTATCCAAGCAGCCATTCACACTCCAGATTTTCCTTCAGAATCCTGTAAAATCTTGTGATACGGTAAGAATAAGTAGCGACAAATGTGTGAGATATAAGACACGCCTTTATGATCCTTCCTGTTGAGACTCTCAGTGGTTGGAATAACTTCATCATAAAATCGACCTGTAATAGGGAGACCACCAATTTCATGAAGATCCCAAAGGGAAATAGACATCTCTCCTTGCGACGTATGAAAAGTATTTGTTGCAGGACACCAGTACTCGCAAAAGGCTCGAATGACTGGAGCATGTCGATCATAGCTAAATAATGAGGCAAATATTGCATTATATAGATCGGTGCTCTTAAGAACTTGAGTACTTCTACTTACCACATCTTCAAGCCACTCCCAGTAATACTCAGTAAATGTAGATTCACCAACTGTCGGGAGAGCAGAACTCCAATTCACTGCTCCATTATGGATTCGATCGCTCAGAAGCTCGAACGCCTTCGATGAACCGGTATCTGTATGATGGGAGGACTTTAACTGTAAAATAGTAGAGTGAAGGTCCCTATCTGTAGACTTGGATTTTTTGAAGCTGCTGAGTTGACAAAACACCTCTTGAGACCAAGACGGAATATGAAGAGAATTGTCCACTCAGATACTTCCGAAGCTAGGAGAGGCGCACCTACAAGCAATGTGGTACCTTCGTCCCGGTTATCACTTTCATCCTCAAGAATAGTAATGGTGCCTTTCTTGAAACACTTGAAGAAGGCCATCTGTATAAGATGAGCGACATGAAACAATATTCAATATCAGGCTGGTGATTTCATACTTTAAAAAAAGAAAAAAAAAGAAAAAAAAAAAGGGAGCTTACTTGTACAAGTTTGAAAAGCCAGATAAAGGTGGAATGTCTCGAGAAACAATTGTCACTCGTCTCCCCCTACGTAAAGCCTAAGCGCTTGAGCAGGTTTTCACCAAGTCGGAGAGATGGATCAAACCCAAGCGGTATAGGACGTCTACGTTTTTCACTTATCCTCCACTTACGTAAAGCCTAAGCGCTTGAGTGGGTTATCACCAAGTTGGAGAGATGGATCAAACCTAAGCGGTATAGGACATCTACGTTCTTCACTTGTTCCCCATTTACATAAAGCCTAAGCGCTTGAGCGGGTTATCACCAAGTCGGAGAGATGGTTCAAACCCAAGCGGTATAGGACGTCTACGTTCTTCACTCGTCCTCCACTTACGTAAAGCCTAAGCGCTTGAGCGGGTTATCACCAAGTTGGAGAGATGGATCAAACCCAAGCGGTATAGGACGTCTACGTTTTTTCACTTTCTTTCAAAGTACCTATTGTAAAATATATATATATATATATATATTTATAAATATCATCATATAAAATAAAATAAAAAATGATTGAAAGAGTAATAGATGTGCAGCAGTGAAAAAAAAAAAGGGTTATTTCGAGCTATTTGGACCAGCCCAAGCTGAATGGGGGCAGCCCAGTTTGCCCACTTCTCTAGCCCAGCCAGCATGAAGGTCCAGCAGATGCTCCTGCGCAGCCCAGCGTCAGCCACCAAGGCCCATCGTCGCCTGCCCATGCTCCAGCGCACAGCAGGCCTGAGCCTACCTACCCTTCCACCTTTCAATCTTGCTTCCACAACAGCAACCAAAAAAAAAAAAAAAAAAAAAAGCTGATGCAAGAACATGATGAAACAAAGAATAGGTTCAAGCTTACCAACAAGTTGCTTGATAGACCAACAGATGAGTTCTTGTGGCTGTAGAAAAATATCAACGTCAGTTTTCTTTTTCAACTGGTGGCTGTAGGCATATATATATATGAGAATCAAACACGAAAAAAAAGGGGCCCATTCTCACCACTTTGACGGCTGAAAATTCAAGGATGCAAACTTCAAAGTTGTAGACCTTCTTGCCGACAAGAGGAGTATTTCTGCTGTTCTATTTGGTTGATCTCAATATTCATGAACGTAGTGCAATTTAAAGAAGCCAAAGACCATCAAAGCTCCTAGTGGTGCTAGGGTTTCTTGTTCCTAGTTTAGGAAAATATTGAATTTTGTATATTGATTCACAAGATCTTACCAATATTGGATATTATTAAGCGTAATAATATCAACCCACCAAAAAAAAAAAAAAAAAAAAAAAAAACCAACGGGGGAAAAAGGGTTCATTGGGTATTATTAAGTTTAATAATATCACCCTAAAAAAAAAAAGAGAGAAAAAAGAGAGGAGGAAAGTAACACTTCAAGATGCACCTCCTACATGTGACAAAGCACATGTCTACAATGCATCATTAAGTGAGGGCAATTTGTAGACAATGAAATTTTGGTGTAATAAATCTCATTGGACGAGAAAATAATTAGGGTTTGGTGGATTAAATTGTGGGCCCCATAATTCGCCCATGTGGCATGTGACTCATCAAAATTGGATTAGTTGTCAAAAAGTGACACGTGGCGACATCCGACGGAGTGCATCAAACGGTTCAAGATGAAGACAAAATTAAGGGAAAGAATCTTCTGTGGTTGACTTTGATTTAAATCAAATTAGGTCAATCAATTGAAGATAATCTGGTTAAATTGCCAAATTATGGGAATTGATTTAAATCAAATCAAAATCCCCCAAAACAGGGCTTTAAATGGGGAAAGTTATCTAGGTTAAGCATCCTACAAGGGCCTATAAATAGGAGGCCTCAAGACGAAAGAAGGGTCCAGAAAAAAACCTAGCATTGAGAAGAAGCTGAAAACTCCATGCATTCTTCACCTACACTTTGGAAGAGCCACCAAGCACAACAAATACGTGCCGGTTCCTCCACCCTAGAAAATCCCAAACACCAAACAAGCCTTGTGCTACCCGTTTGATTAAGATCAAGTCTCTACGACCCTTGCATCAAACACAAATTTTCTTTATACATTTTGGAGATCGAATCAGAGGATTCAATACAATATTTCATAAATACTAATATTATTTTGTACACGTGTTCTTGTCTCATTTGTCGCAAGATTTTCGTGTTTACACCAACATATACTTTCCCTTGTGAATCTTCCCCCCCCCCCTCGGCCCCCAAATTCCTTCGGAAGTTTCTGTGTCAGTCATGGCAAACAGGCTCTTCTTAGCGGCCTCTATGATGGCTTGGTTGGTTGGAACTCGTCTTGGGTTTAAGGCAGAACACTGAACAACTCTTGGGACACCTTAATTAGTACAGTGCCGTATAACCAGGATCCATCTCATTATTATACTGCCAATTGCCAGATGCTACGTTTCTGATTGGATCCAACTTCTTCTTATGGACCTGATATATATTATATACATTAATGCTTTTCTTGTTTCAAAAAATTAAAGGGCTTTTGACTGATAATAGTCAGAATAATAATGCCTTCGTGTTTTGATTCTTGAATATAGATTAATACAATAAAAATCCTGCACCAGTTTGTGTCTGCCACAAATTTTTATTATTTTCTCCAGTTAAGCATTCCCACACTAACCGTAGTTTATCTGACATCTCATTAGCATATACATAACATATATTTATATGTACGTTATTTTTTTCATCCAGTATCCATACCAAAAGTGAGAATGTGATACGAGGACTCCAGACTTACGTGTTAATTAGTGCTTCTAGAACACATAATAAAATATAAGAATATTAATTGTCGGCATCAAATCATCAAAGCCAAAGTTGAAATTAGGATGGAACAAAATGACACAATAAAATAGTATGATAGGATCATATAGGTGACTGTTGAAGCAGTGCTGCATTGAGGTGGGCACAGTCGGGATTGGATCGATTTTATCTTAAAATTGTGATGAATTTAATCACTTTATAACGATTTGATTCGGTTCATTTTTGACAAAAATCACGAAGGAAACTGAACACCAAAAAACCATTTTAAGACGGTTTAATTCGGTCGATTTGGTCCTAGTCTAATTTTGTTTCCTTTTTGCATTTCTTCAATATTGTTAGCCTAATTACAAAAAAAATAAATTCACATACCCTTTTGTTTTTCTTTTTCTAGTGTATCGAACCATCCTGAAAGTCAACATGCCATGCATACATGAGCTTAGTCAAGTTGGCTAGACAGATATACTCCTTACTTTGCACCAGAGTTTAAATCTCCCCAGCCCGTCTTTAGATTAATTAAAGTAGAATATCGCTCGTATAAAAAAAACAAAAACAAAAACTCAACATGCTACAAAACTTCAAAGTTCAAGACAATTTAAATATCAATAACTTATAAGTTCCATCAAACTTCAATGAGTGGAATACACATGTATAATAAATTAAAAATAAATATAAACAATCAAGTTTAGTTTAAGAGCATCTCCAATAGTAGTAAACTTTTCAAATTGAAGTTTGTTGACCTACATGGAAATTTGAAAAGCCTTATTTGCTACTTGAATAATTTTTGCTTCAATAGACTCTTCAATTCAATTAATGCAATATCATGGAAAAGAGTGAAAAATATGAAAACATGTGCAAAATGTCTATGTATTTATTATATGAAAAGAAACAAAAAATGCTTGTTTTTAACATTTTCAAGGTAAGTTTTGTTTTTCCGAAGTAAAATTAAATGTTTGAAGAGCCAAAGTTAACTTATCAGTCCTGAAGAGAGAGAAAGAGGTTGCACCTTTGATGATTGAGGTTGAAGGCTGTTGGAGAGAGTTTTTTTGATGTGGTTCACCTATTTTAAAATTTCAAAGCTGTTAAAGAGACAGTTAGAGATGCACTAAGCCGGTTTGCAAAAGCTCGAAACCAAATTATATATATACTAAAACTGAGTTCACGAATTCACTGTTCTTAGACTGTAGCTTAGGAATAGTGAACTGTCGATATTGCCCTTTACTGAATTTTCCCTTATGTTCCCTTTTTGCCCCTCTCTCTTTGGATGCTAACTCTCCCCACTGTTTCGTTTACTCACAACGATAGTCCGCTTTTAACCAGCTTGGTTGGGCCGGTTGGGGGTAGCTATGGAAGATCTGCGTTCACTGTTCTACGTGCGTGGGGGCCGTATCTTTTCTTTTGGAGAGGCGCGCTGCGAATCCAGCCGCCCTTTTGGTCTTCATCTTATTGGTTTTCGTATAAAATGTTGGGTTTGAGTGTTTGCCATTCCAGCTGCGCTTCATCCTTCTTCTCAACACACGGGTTTAGCTGAAAGGGATTTCTGGGTTTCTTAAAAAAAAAGGTTGGTTTTAACGTTCTTTTGGTTTTCTAGGTTGGTTTATTCATTTATCAAAGTAAATCAGAAATTGAGTTTGGTTTGTTGTTACAGGGAGGAAGATCCAAGGAAAAAGAACTGGAGTAATTAATATATGAATCCCCATTCTGCTCATCAATCTGGTAATTGATGTTTGTGTGGCTGATTTTCTGTTTGCCTGTGGTTATAGACTCCTCCTTTTTTTATATTTATTTATTTATAAATTTTATAATTATTTTAATGACTCCAAATTTTAGTTGGTTTGGATAATTGTTGTTGTTGGAGAATTGGATTAGATTTTATTTCTTTTTTCCATTCTCTCTCTCTAATTTTTGGTTCCTGATGGAATTTTTGCTTCAATTTCTGCTCTTTTTGGTTCAATGAAGAAAGTATTTAGGTTTGATATGTTTACTATCTCTAATTTTTGGATCCTAATGGGATTTCTTTCATTATATATGCTGCTTCTCCAGCGCACCAATGAAGAAAGCATTTAGATTTGATGGGTTTGTTGTCAATGGGATTAATCTCTCTCTCTCTCTCTCTCTCTCTCTCTCTCTTTGTTTTTGTTTTTGGTTCACCAAATGGTTTTCATCTATTCTAATTTTCTGACTTTTAAATTATTTTTCGGGGATTAATGGAGATGATGTAGCTCATAGAATCAAAGCACGATAGATAAAATGGAGGGTTTTGTTAAGCATATATCTAATATTTTGCTAGAATTGAAAGCTAAGTTTATAGAACATCTGTTAGACTAGCCATGTTATATGGGACTGAATGCTGGACAGTTAGAAAACAGACATATTCATAGTTCCTGTAGGTACATATTAGCCAAATGTTACAACCAGCACGGTGATATGCACACCTCTCTCTCTCTCTCTCTCTCTGTGAAAATAGATGCTCATTGAGCAACCCACAATCTAACAGTGGGATCTTTACTTCTCTCTCTCTCTCTCTCATTTTTGGTTCCTGATGGAATTTTTGCTTCAATTTCTGCTTTTTTTGGTTCAATGAAGAAAGCATTTAGGTTTGATCTGTTTACTATCTCTAATTTTTGGATCTTAATGGAATTTCTTTGATTATATATGTTGTTTCTCTAGAGCACCAATGAAGAAAGCACTTAGATTTGATAGGTTTGATGTCAATGGTATGAATCTCTCTCTCATTTTGGTTTTGTTTTTGGTTCACCAAATGGTTTTCATCTATTTTGATTTTCTGATTTTTTATACGAGATGTGCATTTGTTGCGACTCTTAATCCTTCAATCTTCTCCATCTTACTTGCTAAAGTTGAAAGTTCACATTAGTTTGGTTGTTTTTGGGTCTTCCTGCTAACTACTTAGAACATGCATTTTAAGTTCAATTTTTGTTGGCTTGGCATTTCCCTTTTTTAAGAATCTATTTCATTTGTTTTAACTTTTCCCTTTATCATTTTTTCCCCTAATAATTGAACATATTTTTCATCTCTGGGTAGCATTTCTTTTTCTACTTTGTTGGTTAAGCCAACCCCATTGTAGTGAGTAGAAGGGAGATTTACAGTTTCATATTTCAACAATTTCATAAAGAAAGCATTTAGGTAACATACGGACTATTATCCCTCTGTTGATTTCGTGGTCTGTTGTTGTTTTGTGTTTAGCTAATTTTAGTAGTGGATTAGGGTTTCTAAATGCCAGTTAATCACTCTGAATCTCAATGTTGTTGTTATTGATTAGCTGTGATTTTCCCCAAAAATATGTAACTTAAGCGTCGATGAAGTACTCATCAATATGCGTGCTCAATATGTTGTTCTTTGAATCTGTGTTTTGTTGTGATATTCGGATTTCTCATACATTAGACCATGTCTTCCTCTTTTTGTTTCAATGTTGAAAGCATTTAGGTTTGATATGTTTACTATCTCTAATTTTTGGATCTTAATGGAATTTCTTTGATTATATATGCTGTTTCTCCAGGGCACCAATGAAAAAAGCATTTAGATTTGATGGGTTTGATGTCAATGGTATGAATCTCTCTCTCTCTCATTTTGGTTTTGTTTTTGGTTCACCAAATGGTTTTCGTCTATGTTGATTTTTTGATTTTTTAAATTATTTTTCAGGGATTACTCTCTCTCTCTCTCTCTCTCTCTCTCTCTCTCT